GGCTGCGAGCAAACGGAAATCGAGGCTACGGGCCAGGACGGTGACACACGCGTCCGCGCCGGTGGCGATATCACGCAACTTGGATTCCCGTTCACAATCCCACAATCGAATGATTCGAGCATCCCCACCCACAGCGAGCTGAGTAGTGGGTTGGCTCCAGTGTACAACCAAACCGGCTTGATGGGTTGATGGGAGAAGATCGTTCAGTCCGGTCCTGTGAAAAAAAAGATGAACATGAAAATTGCTCACAAATATGCTGGATCGAATAAGTAGAGGAAGGATTTGAGTAATCACACAGAGAACACAACGAACAGATCAACAATCGCGCGAAAGTCACCAAAATCACATTAGACGTAGAGCACATTCGAAAGAGTTTTTCAAACAACACAGTTAGCAGATCAGAATGAAGTAGAATAAAACGAAGAGAATCATTCGAATAGAGTAGCGAGAACGTTTGTGCGCAAGCGGTTTACATCTCTGCTGTCGGGTCAATAACACTAGTGGGGCCACATGTGGTTTGCCACTGGGTCCTGGTAACTATCGACTTAACCTTCATCCGCTGTTTAATATACAATGGCAGGATAAGACTTGGTAAGTCGATGCTGAAGTGACCGGACGTTGAGTGATCGAATCTCGGCTACTCGATTATTTCTCTGTCTCTCAAATCTTCGTTTCCCAAACAAAAATTGATTTAACCGTGGGGTTCCCGCCGAAAGAGCTTTCTGTACCACTGTGCAAACAGAAGATTTAAACAAAGGTTGTTATGGTTAGGATAAACACTGGAATGAGAAAAGTCACTGGTATTCCGAGCACACACACAGTGACAAGCAAATTATGAACCGTGCTCGATAGAAGAACACATACGTTTGCGCAACTTCGAGGAACAATTGAATGAGATACAATTTCTAATCCTGCAAGGGAAGGTAGATGGCGAACTCTGTTGCTCAACTACGAGGAACCGGTAAGCAAAGTCTTGACCAATGCAGCACTGATCCACAGAAACGCCGAAAATAGACATTCGCAGCTGTCACAATTCGTTCAATTGATGACGAAATAAGAACTTCAATAACAAAACACGATCCTTGAAAAGTTTTTTATCCACACACAGCACACGAAATGAAAACCTAGGAAGTACTTTGTGGCTGATTCGATCAGGTTGGATCGAATCTATCGAAGCCATTAAGGATCGCGAACCCGGAACAGAACGCCCACCCACTGTTCACTAGAACAATGGGCGGTTGATCAGATTGGTTCAGTCCGTTACGGCCATCGCACCTCACTCAGCTCAGCTGCGGGCCTGTAGAGTTATGTAAGTTGGAAACATTCTCGACCTGATTATTGCATACAACAGAGTAGTGGGGGAAGTAACCTGCTTACGTGGTGAATTTCGTCGTGTGTCTGGTCCAGTATCTCTGGAATTTATAGAAAAACTGAGGGCTGAACCCAGAACTATATCCAAAACTTTTGGAATTTTGCTTTTCCAAATGATTACACTTGAAAAAATATTTTATCTGATGAAAAATCCGTGAGAAGGATGTTCAGTTGAAAAGAGGAACTACTGTTCGCCTATAGGAATCGGTTACGTAAGCCTTAAAACCCGTCCCAATGAACCGAGTGACAGCGAAGTTACCCACCTCATACGTTGCACGATTGTGTTGGGCATTGGTGTCGAAAATATCGACCAGCATCAAAGTCGCTGAATACTGCGCAGCGATCTGCGATGAAATCAGATCAGTATAATATTCTCACCGCTATTCCCAATACGGAAAAAGATACGCTCATAGAACTGAAGATTGCTTTGCTGATAAGTTTGTTTGCGTGGCTTACGAATCCACAAAGCAACATGAAAACCGATACCTCTTGTCGAGTGAACACAAAGCACTGTTTTGGGGAGCTCCTATTTCGCTGTGCACTTTATGACCGATTCCTATTTCATGGAATTTCGCACAGACACCGAGACAGTGCGGATCACCGCGGAGTCCATTTCTTGCTGTTACCTTGATTTCAAAACCAGAAAGAACTAAGCTCAAGTTTGTAATCGATAATTGCAAACGTCCCTATATGTTATGTGACTGTGGTGTAAAATCCGCATAGCTGGAATTTAGCAAGGCACACAAAGCAGCACATTTCGCAAAAGAACGTGAAACGAACAATCAGTTACCATTTCTGGATGTACCTCTCAACAGATTACATGATGGTCGGAACGAAGGAACGCTGTACCGAATCCCGACATGAACTGGGTAGCACATCATCATCATGATCGTACAGCGAGATACAGTGAAGCGAGCTTCACTGATCGCTGCCAAGCTCACAATGTACACTAATCAAATGACAAAATATACGATGGAGAGGGATCGGGCCTACTTGGAGGGAGGCAAAGAAAAATAAACTCTATGTTCAACACATAGAGCACACAATCTAAGTGTTCATGCATACCTTTTTTCAAGCATTCTGCCTTGTTAAGAAATGAGAACAAGAACGCCACTGCTGTCGGTTAGTCACCATATCTTTGAATATCTCCAACCAACCAGTTGTAGTCTTTCGGACCCCAACCTGGAAGACGGGAAACACCGATTCTACCTAATCGCTCTATCCATTTCTTCATGCCTCGCTTCCACGGAATCTGTTGACCACCACGCGGTTTCTTCTAACCTGGAACCGTAACTGCGAATAAGGCGCGGTGCGGCAGACGATGGCTGAGCATGCGCAATAAGTGTCTCAACCAGCGAGGCCGACTAACCTGAATTCGATGGGGTAAAGAATTCTCCATCGAATCATTATCAAATACGCGACGCCTTACCTCATAGTTGCTTACAAGCTCGCTCCATCCAACCCGAGCGAAACTACGTAAACATCTGCAGTCGAATACTTCAAGACAACGAATATCTTCCACGCGCAAATTAAGGGTCTCGCAACCAAAACGCAGAACTGGCCGCACACTGCACGACCTTCTAGATTCAGCGAAACATCGCGTCTATACAAAAGGTGTTTCAATCCTGCGTAAGCTACTCGACCCTTGGAAATGCGGGCGGTTACTTCATCGACTATGCTACCGTCATTTGAAACGCAGTTACCTAAGTACATGAAACTTCCCACTACAGCTAATTCTTGACCATCAAGTATCAGTGCTGGGGGAGATGACACCCAGTTTTGTAGCACCGCTTTGCACTNGAAAGGTGATACAAATCTTGCTAGTCTGTCAAGAGCGCATTGCGCATCCTCCATAGATTCGAACAGGCATACGATGTCATCAGCGTACTCGAAATCGCACAGCTTTTCTCCAGCTGCCCGTTCAATACCTACGTGCGTTCTCCAGTACTTCGTCTACGACGAGATTGAGCAGGAATGGCGAAATAGGGCACCCTTGACGGACACCGCTCCTGGTTTCGAACGATTTACTTAGCCCACCGTANGACCCTTACGTTACCAGAAGTATGCAGATACAACGACCTCAATAGGTTTACATACTTCCGCGGCATTCCTTTGCGGAGCAGCGACCCAAGAAGAACTTCACGGTCAACTGAATCGAAGGCTCCTTTAAGGTCAAGGAACACTGCGATTGTTGGCCGACGATGTGTGTGACGCAGTTCGAGGACTTGACGCAGAGTGAAGATTTGGTCGATGCACCGAGAACCTGGTCGGAATTCGGCTTGTTGTTCACGGATATTCCTCTCTCTTGAAGGTGTCAGGCGGCGAAGTACCACAAGAGTCATCACTTTTGTGATTATCGGAACTAAACTAATCCCACGGTGGTTAGTGCCTTTCTCCTTCGTTTTGTGAAGCGGGACTGCGGTTGTTTGGTGAATACGCGGAAACGATGAACGAACACCTTTTGGTGTTGCTACCATTCTGAAAAAAACTGAACCGTGTAGTCTCACTGCGCATAGACGACTATTGACGGGGATCCAAATTATCATAGAGGCTTCAATTTTATGGTTTAGTGCGGCACCTACACCACGCTGACCCAGTGAGCGGGCTGCGTCGTCTGCTGAAGTGCGAAGGAAATACTTCGAGGACAGACCCGGCGCACTCAGGGAGCTCATAATACTAGGATCCTGAATTCGTGTCTCCAATAGGCAATAAACATCGATTTCTAGACACTGCATTGTAAGCGTAAAACACGCCTGTTGACCCACCTGCATAAAAGTCCTCACGTTGCAAGCCCTCAGATTGAAAAGTTGACGAGGCTTCAGAATCTGCACTGTATTTACAGGAAAACTAGTGACAGTGCTATTTGGCAAAGATCTTTGGTGAGTGACGAACAAGTTGTCTGAGTGCATGTTACGGGTTGGAAGAAAGGGTAAAGGAGAGGGTTGGGTACCGAAGACAAAGAGTTAATCAAAGGTTGAGATATCTGAGCAGTAGCCCACTTATCACTACCCACCCCGCTCGATGCAATGGGCAGCGCAGTCCTGATTATCCGGCACGACGACCGATGCAGTATTCGATTATTTTTTGCTTGTGTATGCATTTGAGTTTGATGGACGAGTGGGTACTGCCAGGGTGTCCAGCATCTAAACAAGAGAACGATTAAGGTTCTCGTCCAAAACCTTTAGCTAGGACACGAACCTAACCGCAAGGCAACGGGTAGGGCGAAGTAGAGGCCCATTTACTTTACCGATTACTCCTCTACTAGTTTACAGACTGAGACGCTAACTCGAGTCGAACCCCCAACCTGGAGGACCAGGAGAATGGACTTCGTCTGACCTCTACCCATTGACCTTCCAGGCATGATTAGATCTTTGGCTCGGTAAAAGCCATCCTGTGTAGCTCGTTGGGTTATAGAGGTGCACAAACCATCACACCACGTCAAAGTGCAGTCTTGTCGTGATGGTTTCGTTAACATACAACAGAAACGGAAGTTAATAAAATGCTTGGCCGTAAGGGCAAGGGCTATCAGTCCCAAGGAGATATTGAATGATGACCTTGTTAATTACTACTCGTAATTCGATGTTTCTTCCCCTGTGTCCATTAGACTACTAACGAGTAGCATACGGCGTTTATTTTCCCACTAGTTAGACTTCCGTTTCTTGTGCATCCTACGGTGTCTATATCCATGAAATTTATATATTCTGATAGCGTATTCACTCGGTCTTTACTGCTGTGACTTCTAACTGTTTATTCTTAAGGTTGCGTTTTCCCATTGGCATAAAACTTTTCTAGTCACTTGTACTGCGAGAAAAAAAAACGTACTGCCGTCAGGGCTCGAACCGCAGACCACCCCCAGGCCGACACACGCTACCACCGCACCACACACACTTACCGGGCGACTGTTTACTGCCTTTGTCAATACTGCCCTCTGATGCACATACCTTCGATCAACACCGCCGCTTTGTATCGCATTCCAACTTACTAGCATTCTCTACATTTCACCCCAAGCCATTGTAATTTCTTTCTCTGTCGTTTTATTCCGGAACTAAAGTGTATTGTAAGCCCTTCCCATACCGTACCGCAACCTCCCCCATTTGAATTTCACTGCTGCGCTACCGTTACGCTTAGCTGTCTGCCGGGTAGGCCTTGTTCCTACTATTGCTATCACGAACTGTTACTGCTGCCCTGTAATTTGGTTGCTCACCTGGCTGTAAGTTACTTTTATGCTTTATTATTACTGTATGATTTTAGAACCACGATTATCACCACTGTCGATAAACATTGCTACTATATTGGACTTCGTTCTGCTGCCCGTAGCCATGTTCTACCTACATCGTGCGTACAGCTATCGAACCAAGTTGCTGAGAAATTTCAGACTGTTAAGGCGTGACAGCACAGACCTGATACTTGTTAAAAACAAATTACGGGAGGATGAATATCCGGATCGTTTTAGCACAAAAAATCTGATTGAACAAACACCTAAAACCCCTATAGAAACAACAGAAAAGAGAGATTTGTTCCTCAGTTTGATATTCAAAGGTGATGATCCAAAGTCTGGATAGAGGAACTAGAAACACGTTCAACACTGCTAAATCACCGCGCGTGTTTTGAGGTGTTACTGTGATCAGGATTGGGAACAAGAATAAACTGCCGACGATGAGCCCATCAATGTTTGTTTGCCCTTTCAGATGCGTTTGTGGCATATCTTGTGTTGGTCAAAGGGCACGACAACTCTCTACTGGAATGAAGAACACCGCCAACAACAGTTAAGACTAAAACAGACCGGATCAATAGGCAGTGTAATCCTAGCCCACTTCGTCGACACCGGACGTCCCTTTTGGAATCATTTATTGTGAGTTTTCCTCCCTCTCCAACAAATGCAAACGTGTTCAACTGCTCACTCTAGCGATAGTCGGGGCGATTGAGTGGGAAAAAAGTTGACCTTTAACATCTGCTAAATAGTTTGGTAGTCACCACCTATGACACCAGTGGCTCCGCCATGACATCCGACTGTCTCTTGGGGGAAGGGTGTACATCGCCGCGGTTCGTAGCATTCTACTTTACGGTGGCGAGACTTGACCCCTTCGCGTTGAGGATGCTAATTGACTTTCTGTATTCGACCGATGTCTCCGAAGCATTGCTCGTGTCTAGTGGGAACCCCGGGTGAATAATAACGACGTTTGGCGTCATGTGGTCGGTGTGGATAGTCGCTCTCTAACAGAAGTAATCGCTCTACGCCGCTTCCTATGGCTGGGTCACCGATTGAATGGTAAACAGATTGCGGATGTAAAGGAACACATTCCTATGCATTCATCTTGAATGGCGTTGTTTGTTGCTTTTTTACGGGTCACGGAATTTCGACAGCATTCGCACCACTGACTTCTATTCTGGGCCATATCTCTCAGCGTCTCTAACCAACGACAATCCTCATTCTGTGGGCCCAACCTAGAAGGCGGGCTACACCAACCGAAGCCAGCTTCTTCATACCTCTACCCATGACAGTCTGTCTGCCGCGGAGCCTCTTCCAGACTTGCCCGGCACGTGCAAAGAGAGAGCATGGAAAGGTAGTCGATGGGCAGGCATACGCAATACGTGACCAAGCCGACGGAGGCAGTGTGTTTCACGTAGTTATAAAAATGAGCTGCTGTTCCAGTACTACCGATTTTACACTTCAGTCACACATATCGTGTAGGGACGTGTACAATTATCGATTGCAGACTTGAGCTTTCTGGTTTTGAAATGATGGGCATATTGCAGACAGAGAAATAAAACTCGAAAAAGACGGTAAAAATAGAAAGACAGACGGAACTAACCAGGCAGTCACAATCTCGGAGTCTTGGCCCAAATCTCGAATGTAATTTCGCCAGATCCGCAGACGGCCGTCCTCGTGCGCGGTCAGTAGGAGACTGCGTTCTTCAAGTGGATTGAGGAAGCGGATATCTGTCACAAGACCGGTTGTTGTTTTGATATAGCTATGAAAACGGAGTTGAGCGGGGAAAAACAGGGAGAGAAGGTGATTCTCCTTCAAAATCATCGCGATATTATCTACCTACCAACCTACCTACCTACCTACCTACCTACCTACCTACCTACCTACCTACCTACCTACCTACCTACCTACCTACCTACCTACCTACC